TTGTAGTGCTAAAAAATTGATTCCAATATTCAATGTGCTCATAGAATACGGGGCAAATTTTGCATGCAAATCTCAGATAACCGGGCAAACGGCATTATATAGCATGAGAAGTAATCACTCGATTAGCTACTGCTTAAACAACAGGGATGATGCAAAACCCGACGGCTTTCATGACAATATCGAAAGAATCATACGTCTTTTTACCGACAGAGGTTGTGATATCAATTCCATTGATAACCAAGGATTGACGGTTCTATCTTACTTTCTATTGAAAAGCGCTTATCGTTTCGAAAATGAGTTAATTATTTCTACATTATTAGAATGTGGGGCCAACCCTAACATTTTAACAAAAATATCACACCCTGAACCATTTATCGCAACGAATGCCCTCTTCATGGCTATCAAATACCATTGGTCAACCGAGATCTTGGATTGTTTGAAAAGATTTGGCGTGAATGACAAGGAAAAGGACGTCAATGGAAATAATATATTGGTGTTCTCAATTCTCGAACGACAAATCGATTCAATAAGTTGGCTATTGAACAATTATTCATGGACAAATGACCCTATAATTCTGAAAGAATCCATCAAATATACAAAATATTTTAGCAAAGAACGAAAAATCATAAAAAGTTGGCGTGGGTAAAAAAACAGAATTTTTCGTTTTTTTTTTCAGAAGATAATTGTTGTTGTCGCGGGTCAGGCGCAATCTATTGTTCATACACTACTAATATTGTAAATATATAACCAATTAGAAAAAATAGTAATAAATTAATGATCCCAATAATAGTGAATATATGAAAAAAACATCCCAATTAATACTTAAACAGAGATCTTGTGCAAAGCAATGGATCTTAATTAATTGATAGCAACCTTTTCCTTTACTTCAACATCACGTTACCATTCTAAAGGTTCGGTTTTATATAGGCGCGTATGTATAATGCACACTTGCAAAAATCAACTCACAAACCAATAAAAACAAGGAAACGGAAACCGTTGTAATTCCGGATTAAAAAGTTTGAATACTGTACATGGTATATTAACTGACGGTTTGAATAATAATATATTTTGGAGTTAAACATTAATTACTGTATATTCGAATATGTTTATAGGCCATAATTTTTTGGATATACAGTATATACAAAGTGTTTTAAAATTACTTGAAATCATTTAATTTTACAACCACTAATTCATTCATAATAAAAAAGTGTATTCTTTTATTAAAAACTAATGATTAACGAGAATGGCATTACTAACTCATGTTTTTTTTTTTTTTTTTTTTTTTTTTTTTTTTCAAGGTATTTTTCAAATTTTTTTTTTTAATTTTTGTAATTCATTTTTTTTTTTATTTTTTTAAATTATATAACTCATTTTTTTTTTTTTTTTTTTTTTTTTTTTTTTTGCAAAGATTTGACAAGATTTTTTAATATAATATTTAGAAATTCATTGATTCTAACTTTATTCAAATCCTGCAACATTCTTTTTTTTTCGTATATATTTTCATAATATTTCATAAGCACTCAATTGAATTTAAGTCTAGATTATTGATCACACATTTAAATTTATGAAAGATATGTAATTTGATGTAAAATTTTGTAAAACAGCTTATATGCTTCACTGGTTTCTTTTTTATTAATATTTTTATTAATTATTTTTGTTTTTTTAAAACAGAATAAGTTATTAATTAATATTATATTCTTGTATTGCTGCTTATAATATTGTAAAAAAGTTAAAACATTGCTTCAAATATTTAAAAAAAATTTTTTTATTGTTTTTTAAAAAGTTTTTGATTTATTCAATTAATTTTTTTAATATTATAATAATTATCAACTTGTATTATTTCATCTGCATCTTGATAAAAAAACATTGATATTATTTTTAAAAAATATTTTTTATAATTATAAAATTTAAATATTATAAAAAAACTTATTAATTGAAGAAATTATTTTTATTATTTGATTTTTTGACAAATTTAGTTTTTATGTTATTGAATTTTTAAAACAATTTTTGCAATTATATTTAAATAATTAGTTTTCTTGATTACTTGACATTTTTTTTAATCTTTATAAATTATAGAGTTTCTAATAATATCACTTTTGATTAAAAATCCTAATGCTTCTTTTCAATTCTATATTCAATTCTCAAGTTTATATTAAATTTAATAAGTAGAGTAAATATTTTTTAAACTCTAATAAATTATATCAAATTATTATAAAATTAAAAAAAAAACCTATTTTATAATACTTTTATTTTTTTTCAAATATAAAAAAAATTTTTTATTAAAAAGGTAACAAGTAATTAAAAGTCTTAAGTAATATTATAAATAAATTAGAATAATTTTCAATATATAAAAATAAAACAAGAAAAAAACCATTTTTGCTTAAACAATTATATATTAAGAAACCTAACAATATAATTAACAAAAATTATTCTAATAATTCAATAACAATATTAATTTAACTTATAAAAAATATATAATAAATACAATAAATTAACCAAACAATTAAATTTCAAATATACAATATTGCTAAAATTGAATGTAAGAACCAAGAATTTTTTTTCAATTTCATTATAAAATAATCTTGTAAAACAATAAAAATATCAAAAACTATAAAATAAAATTAAAACTTTAAATAAATAAGTTAATATTCACAATTTTATATCTATTATCTTAAAATACAAAACAGTAATACTAGATAGTATAAACAAAAAAAATAAAAATAAAAGACTAAGAATATAAAAACAAATTAACATATAATATAAAAGAAAATAAATAAATAAATTAAAATCTGTTTTTTTATTTAATAGAATAACAAATTATAAAAAAAATATTATAAAGTAGAAATTTTTACAAACTTGTTTAAAAAAAATCATATATTAGAAAATAAAATATATTGTTTTTATATTAAAATATTTATTAAATATTATTATTTTAAAGATTTTTAAAAATATAATTAAAGAATATAAAAAACTTTTTATTATTTGGTTTCAAATTATTATTATTAATTTTATATTTTTATGTATCAAATTGTAAAATTTTAAGAAAAAATTCATTATATTTGATATATATTATATTAAATAATATAGTATATCGATATAAAGGCATAATAATTAGATGCAAAACAATTATATAAATATTTTTAATAATAAAAATCCAAAGATATAATAAAAAAAAAAAAATTTAAAAATTATCTATAAAACATTTTATAAATCTTTACAAATCTTTTTAAATTATTAATTTTATTATAAAATAGTATTAATTTTTCAATAAAAAAGAAAATTATTATTCTATAATAAAATTCTCTCCTGATTGCATCTGTTTTGTTAAAAATTTTTCTTTTATAATGATTTCAAGAAAAAAAAATATTTAATACTTTTTATTACAAATAAGTTCCAACTCAAGAATCTAAAAGCCTTTAAAATAACTGATATAGTAAATAAAATCTCTGGTCAAAGTCTACTCAAGTTTGAGAGTCTTGTTTATCTTTCGGTTGCATGAGAAAAGATTTGTGACTATTCTCTTTTCTTTTGTTCTTTTGCATTTCTCCTTATTTTTACTATATTACAAAAACCAATTACATAAATATCATTATACTTACTAAACCAAACACTTTTCAAAAAATATACTAAAACAAAATTGTTTGGATCTATTGTTTGTTTTAATACAATCTTTACACATAACCTTACCATAACACTATCTATTGTGTTATTTCAAAATTTTCAAAAATTTTTTTTCAAAAAACTGAAATCAGTTTACTTTATAAATGTTGCTGAAATTCATAGATCTTTGACGCAATTAATTGAGTCACTATTAAAACATATAAATAATTGAGTCATGACGCAATTATTTTTGAGGATTTTGG